ACACCAAGCTGGGATCAGTTAAAGACACATTGAGGCAAAGTTTCTGCGCAGCCAGTAAAGCAGCCAAAGGGCTTTAATTGCCTTATTCCACATATATTAATGTATGAAGCATCATTAGGTACTGTGGAAGAATAAATATATCCTATCATGGCACAAAGACAAGACATTCTTGAAAATTATGACTCAGTAACAAGCTGATATTATTTCTCCGTCTCAATCAGTGCCACAATTGTTTTTCTGCTCTTTGCTTCCCAGCTCTCAGAGCAGTAACTTTTCCCCACAGCACTGTAACTGAGAACACCAGCCTGATACTGACTGCTCTTCATTAGCATCCATTTAAATGAGAGAGGGAGAAGGAGAGACGGGTATTTGTTCCGGGGATTATGAGCAGTAATAGATTCTTTCTGGGGACTTTCATTCGTTTCTGGGATTTGCCTGCACTAAGCTTTGGGCTTGTAGTTTGTGATCAGTGGTGTTACACTAAACCACACTTAAGGAAGTGCTCAAAATCCCTGTAAGAAAGATAAGAGCTCTTTTCTCCTTGGCCTGGCTTTAGCCCTGACATTAGGTCTGCAAATGACTCTTGTCAGGCTATATAAGGTCTGAGTTGTCTCTGCCTTGGGCACTTCCTGCCGCAAATCAGCTTCTTCTCATCTCGATTTATCTTGCTTACAGCTGTGATGCTCTGAGGACTCTCTGCTCTGGATTCCCCTCTCTGGCTGGCCTCAGCTGGGTGCCAAACCCAAACCGTTGCACCAGCCAGACGTCCATAGGTAGCTGATCCCCTGGGATACCCCCATCCCACAGCAGGAACACTGCAGGAAGGCAGCGGGGAGCCATGGTGGGATCACCCTGAGCCTGCAGCCACCCCAACTCCCAGCTGTGAATGGTGGCAGCCTTTCCAATGCAGCCCAGAGAGCTCTGCCATGCCTGGCACAGCACTCTGTCTCCTGGTGCTCGGCTTTGTCCTCCCTTCGCTTTCTGGCTGTTCTCTTCCTGGCTTCCACCCAGAATGAGCTGTGTGCCCACCCCTGCACACAGTAGCTTGTACCCATTCCTCTTTCCCCCTCCCAGCTGCCCTGCAGAGAGCCCTTGAAGGGTGCTCTGCCATCCCACATGGACTGTGCCCATGGTGTTACCCTTGCAGACCCTGCTTCCCTCCCAGTGCCACCTGTGCTGGTTCCTCTGGATCCACTCTGCTTTTCAGCATGACAGTGAAATCTCCATCCCACGGAAAATGAGAGGAGACCTTTTCTTCTCGTGAGAAGGTAACATTTAAAGGCATCCCTTGGGCTACTCTATCTGGCAGCCCAGCTGGTGCTCTTTTGTGTGAGTGCCACTCTTGAAATGCCAGCTTTGGTCTTAAAGGCAGTCAGCAGAAGGCAGGGCTCGCTCCCACTGTAATTGATTCCTCACTGGCCTTTATTCTCTCTTTTGTTTGGGAAGAAGGAATAATACAGATTGCAAGAGAAATGTGAATATTGTCTTGTTTGGGGAGAGGTAACAATAGGATTGTCAGTGTCCTGGAATTTTTCTTGTGTTTGTCTGTCTCTGGTCAGCTGGAGAGATTCAGCAGCAGATACGTGGCCTGCCTTTGTGTGTGCCTCGCCACCAGGTGCCATTAGGAAATGCCAGACACATCTGATGGAGGAGGTGGGGAAAGAGCATTGACTAAACAAATAGGTAACAAAACTGCCAGCTGGCTTCAGACTCTGACACCAGAAACTGGGCATGATAGTAGTACAAAACCAGATGGAGCTGAAGCTTCATCCATATTTAGTTTGAAGAGCTGACATCTTTGCCGTGCCTCCCAGAAGCACGTTCTCAATGATGATGTTCCTAGAGAAAGAGGGTTTTGTGGTCCTTTCCCAGCCTTGGAGAGGCTTTGTAACTTAGGTGGGATTGCATGCAGGTTGTGAGGAGCAGATCTGACCCTCCTTTGCAACTCTGATTTGTAAGGCAGTCGTGGACACGTTGCTTGGCTGTTTTGACCCTCGGTTTTCCAGGTGTAGACAGGTATGGTGATACATGGCATGTTGTGGGCAGACAAGGAAGCTTCCTTTCCAATTTCAAACTGCTTGAAAAACACCTGCTTGTGTTCAGTATTGTTCTGCTGGAGAATTTGGGGGCCAAAAGGTTGAATGCTTCAAGGACAGCAGGCTGTCAGCGAGGACACGCTTAGGCTCAGTTCGGGTTCAGGCCAGGTATTCACAGCCAGTGCTTTGGAGGCACTAACTTGCATTCTGGATGCTTTTATGAGTACCTTTCTATCTCACCATCTCTCTTACCCTGCGGCACAACAGAGTTCATTTGCTGCTTGATTCGTCTCAATGCCGGCTGCTCAGCCAGGCTCTGGTGTAGTAGATCCTAGCTGCCATCCCTGAGTGAGGCTGGAATGGACAGCAGTTGACTTTAATCCTTGCTTGCTGGCAGCTCCATATCAGTACTTAATTTAGTCTCAGTCCCTCAACTCACCAGCTCTGACTGCTGTAATTAGCTGCTCTGAACACGCTCATGTTGACATTGATCTATGGGGTTATGTAGATCCTGTGTGGGCCATCAGTTTGGCTAAGGGCTCCAGTGAGGACTAGGTATCCTTCCTAGTGAGGCTTCCCTCCTAAGTTGCTTCTGAGGTTAGGGAGGGCACCAAGAAGCCAGAGGCTCAAAACTGGTTTTGCCAGGGGCTCCCATGCTGACCCGTGTTGCCAGGAGGGAGATCCCACTCGCTTACTTCTGCCTGAGGTTGTGCAGTGGCAGCTGATCAAAAGAGGAACAAAGTCACCTTACTCCTCATTCGAAGAGGGAAACTCAGAACCACTGGGGAAGTAGTTTGATATATTCGATATCCTAATATTTCCAGACAGAAAAATGTTTTCCCATCCTTCTCTTATTCATTTTTGAGTGTCAAGAATTTGAAGGGAGGTATTAGCTCTGCAGGCTGTCCAGAATGCATCCCAGGTGGTGGGATGTCTCCCTCCCTTCCTGCTGTCTTGCCCTCTCCCTGTTAGGTCAGGTGTTCATCTATTTATCTCAGCCAGCCTTAATGCTAGTGCTTCTGAATATTTCCAGTCAATAACCATGCCTGTCTTTTCTCAGTTCACTAAATTATACACATACTTCATTCTTTTAACCTTTTCTTGTAAGTCAGCCACTCAGAATCTAAACATTTCATCATCTTTATTATGCATCTCTGAACTCCTTGTGATGCATCTTGCTCTCTGTCAGCAAGGCACTCAGCAGGAGTACTTCCAGGTCCCTGTCCTTCATACAGTACCCCTAGGGCTGACATGCCAAGAAGGATTTCAGGATACTGTACAGGAAGGAGGTACCTAAGAAAGTCTCTCTTCCTATCACTTTCCCTGAGCTCTCATTGCTCCCAGAAAGCCATACCCAGGCAAGAAGGCAGCATCCCAAGTGCAGATAGACTATGGACATTTAAGTAAGGGTTGTTACTGCCTCTCTGCTCTCAGGGGTAATATGTCTGCGTATCAGAGACACTGATGAGCAAGAGAGTGACTAGAGTCCTGATTGATTTTTTGGTTCATCAGCTGAATTGAAAAAAAGAAAGTGTTTCAGTTCAGCCCTGAATGAATGTTTAAAAATGTGTTTTTATTGAAATAAAAAAGGGAAAAAAAAAAAAAAAAGTCAATTGGGGAGGATTACTAAAAAGATACAGTAGGTTGACAGTTTTATTTGTGGGTAGAGGGGGGATGTGACACTTTTCAAAGTGAAAACTGGAAATGTTTTCATATTTGTTGGCTTTGTTTTTGTTTTAGTGGCAGACAGAACCTTTTGGGAATTGTTTGATGGAAAGGGCTTAAAGCCAGTGCTGATTCAGAGTGTTTGTGTCCCTCTGAAAATGTGGGAGCAGGCATGAGAGGCAATGCTACAGAACACCAGAAAAGCACATTTGTGTGCTTCAGGGCAAGTAAGTAACCAGGACAAGTGGCTGCTGAGGACACAGGTGATATTTCTAAGGGCCAGGATCAGGAAAAACTGTAGACTAAATATGCCAGGTGACAGCAGTGGAAGAGGAGGGGGGAATGTGTGTCCTAGGACTCTCAGTTCAAGTGGGATGTGGACCAACTGGTGTGGATCCAACACACAGTCATCAGGATAGAACAGGAGCAGAAATGTTAGGGAAGAGAGGTTGAGGAAGCTGGGCTTGCTCCATCAGGCAAAGAGGAGGCTGCTGTCAGCCCTTGACCACTAACTGTTTGAAAGGCAATTACAAAGGTCACAAACCCAAACTCTTTTCATAGAATCATAGAATGGCCTGGTTTGAAAAGGACCACAATGATCATCTAGTTTCAACCCCCCTGCCATTGACAGGGTCACCAATCACCAGACCAGGCTCCCCAGAGCCACATCCAGCCTGGCCTTGAATGCCTCCAGGAATGGGGCATCCACAGCCTCCTTGGGCAACCTGTTCCAGTGTGTCACCACCCTCTGTGTGAAAAACTTCCTCCTAATATCTAACCTAAATCTCCCTTGTCTCAGTTTAAAACCATCCTTTGTCCTTTGTCCTTTCACCATCAACCCATGTAAACAGTCATTCCCCCTCCTGTTTATAGGCTCCCTTCAAGTACTGGAAGGATCCGTAATATTACACAATATAACAGGGAACAGCAGCCTCCAATGGCATCACTGAAGGTCTGTGCTGGACTTGGCCAGACAAAGCCATGCTGTCTTGCTCTAGAACTGCAAACAGCTTCAGGCAAGAGGTTGGACAGGACACCTGTTTAGGTTCCTTGCAACTAGCCTATCTGCCACCCACTTCTTGTGCAAGGCCATACAGCCATGTTACAAACTGCTGCCGCTTCTTAATTTCCTCTGTCTTCATCTGGGTACATATCCTTCTTTGAAGAGCCCAGGTAGATGAAATACTGCCAGTGAGACATGTTTGTCAACTCAGGAGAAGGAACTGTGCCAAGGGTCAGCCCAGCAGATTGGGTTTCCTGCATGCCCCATGTCACCAGCACCCAATTTCTCTCCTGCAGGCTCCTTGAATCTGCTGGTTCGCGTGCGGAACAAGCGGGCCATCGACACCCAGGTGTGGTCACTGAGTGGGAACAGGGGGAACATGTGGCAGCAAGCACATGTGCCCATCAACCCGCCTGGGCCCTTCCAGGTAAGTCAGGGCCACAGCCGAGGAGCTGCATACCAACCACCCCATCCATGTGCTGTGGGAGCTCTGCACCCCCACGGTCACTGAGGCAAGGCAAGAGCTTAGTGCAAGCACAGAGGTCACAAGTGACTTTGATTGCTGGATGCTTCTCAGAGCATGTTCTACAAGAGCCCACCCCCACTACCCTTCTGGTTTAGGACTGTAGGGCGGCTTGCAAATGTGAACTAGGCATGATGTATCTGCTTGATGGGCTATTTATGAATACCAGGAAGGTGTGTGGCTTTGTTATCAGATGTTTTACTGCAGGTGCTTTCGCCCAACAGGCTGCTTGGCTGCTGTAGGGTTGTTTGTGAGATCTGGGGCTATGCAGGCTGGTACAATATGATACTGTGGCAAAATGCCCAGCATGCTTTTGGGTACTATAAAATAATAAATAAGGATTTAGTTACTCTTGCGAGTGCTGTTCAATGTTGGTTTTGCTAGTGCAAAGTACTTAATAAAGCAGAACTCTACATGCTCATTTATTACACTGCAGACAGTACACAGAGGTTGATTCTCTACTCTGTGGGGCTCAGCACTCCAAATCCTATGTGTGCTGGAAAAACAGGGAGAAGTCATTCACAGGGGAACCTGGTAAGAGCTGGTTTGCTCCTTGCATGGGAAGAAAGCAGGTCCTCCACAGCTTCACTCTGGGCTCTGCCCCATGCTCTGATTGCAGATCATCTTCGAAGGCGTCCGGGGCACGAGCTATGAGGGAGACATTGCCATTGATGATGTCACTCTGAAAAAGGGGGACTGTCCAAGGAAGCCAATTGGACCGAATAAGGGTAAGAATGTGAATGCCCCAGAGGAAAATGAGCCAGCGGGAGTGCACATATGAATGGTGTGCCAGGGACATTCCCCTAATTGCTGTGCACATTGATGTATTTATGGGGCTCGACAAAACGAGCTCCATCACTAGAAGTTAGGAGAGGGTCTGTCAGACTTTTAACTTGTTCTTTATAGTCATGAGTCAGCAAAAGCTCAGAGGAACAACTGGATACTGTAGGGGCTGTGCTGCCAAACACCAGTATGCTGAAGACCATGCCAAAGAGCTGGTGTGGGGGCGTCACCTCCAGGTAGCTGAAAGCATTCCAGAAAATGAGAACTTCTCACTGAGGTTGAAGCCATAGCAAGGTGCATGAGCAGTATGCAAGTATAAAGTCTTTGAGTAGGAACCATTGGTTACTCAACCTGCCTTGTGCCTTAGTCCTGCTGTGTCCTGCCTGTGTCCTCGATAACCTGTCCAGGTGAGCAGGAGAAAAAAAATGGTTGAGAAAGAGTTCCTGTCAACAATTTTCATAATTCCAGTGGTGAAGGGGAAAACAAAACATCTAAATAGTCAAAATACCCTAATTTTTTGCAAATTTCCAATGTAGTTAAAGGTCCTCAGATGGCCAAACTTTAACCAAACCACAAAGATAACTTTTTCCATGGCTGAAGTTGAATTATCTGAGGAAGAAAGGAAGGATGAATTGCAAAAGCAACCAAGATTCAGCATTTTGGGCCTGGAAATGAAATAATCTGGGGAAGGCCTTGAAAGTGGAGGAGTAGAAAGACCTTTCATTATATCTGGGATGTGCTTCATGGTTTGGGTGTGAGGAGAGACAGTGACGCTGCTGTGCACTGACTTGTTTGATGAGATCTGCATCTTTCCCATTACTAATTCTCTCTCTCTCTCTCTCTCCTTGGCTGGCAGCGGTTGCTCTTCCAGGAAGTGGGGTTCCAGCCCAGCATGGCCCTTGTCTTTGTGGCCCATTGACTTTCTTCCTTTACGTGCTGCTCAGATGATGGCAAGTGAGCGCTCCTGTCTTCAGACTGAGACATTCCTGCTCCTTTCCTACTCAGCCACCTCTGCTCCTCTTCTTCCCCTCCTCACTGGCACACCAAAGTGTCCATATGTTACCAAAGACTGACAGGCATGACCACGCAAAGGGATCTGGTTCAGAACTGGAGCACTCCTTGAGAAAGTCATAATGTCTAAGACAAAATTAAAAAATAAAGACAATGTTTTTTAAAAAGCACGTGCACAAGAGAGTGAGAGAGAGAGGAAGGAAGGAAAGAAACAGAAGCGCAGGAAAGAAGGAATTAAAGAAAAAAAAAAAAAAAAAAAAAAGAAGGAAGAAATGTGAAAAGCAAATGAAGGAGGAAAAATCTACCCCTATATTTCCTTGGGAATGTCGGACAGGGCTTCCTCAGGGAAGTGGGAACTTGTTTTAAACAAACAAAGAAAAACATATTAAAGCACAAATTTCTACCAGAACAGTTACCTTCTTTACCACAGAGCCTGCAGCTTAGTGGACAGTATTTCACAGCCTTCTCCTCAGCCCGCCATGCTCTCCCACTGGCTGGGGCGGCCCTGCAGTGATGCAGCAGCTGCCCCACAGGCCAGTAGCCGGAGCACCCTGCCTCGTCCGCATGTGCTTCAGTGTCTCCATCCATCCACCCTCCAGGCTCTCATGTATTTAACTGCCCCCTGTGCAGTTTGCTTTGGCCTGCGCTGCTGTCCTCTCCCCACCTTTTAGTGCTTTTCACCCACCAGCCTGAAGAAGATGGAGCAGGAATGGACCCAGGAATGGACCCATCCCTTGGATTCCACTGAATGGTGGAGGAGTCCCAACTGGATTCAGCTGCAGTGCAGGCCCCCACATGCCTCTTTCTCTCTTTCAGCAATTCTTGCTGGGTGGAGAAACTATGAGAGCAGATCTGAGCTGCAGGCAGAAAGGTCTCCCAGTGGGTTGGGGTGGGAAGGGGGGAGCAATTACATGTTGGCTTCTCGCTATTTTTGTTGGGATGAGAGCTGTCTCAGCCCTAAACCTAGCATTGCTTCTCTGTCTCTCTTGCATTATTTATTTATTCTAATATTTAACTCCATTGTTTAATTTCCCTCAGCTCGAGCTTTTTGAATGATGGAAAGAGTCAGGCATGTCAGCCTGATATTGCCACCTCACTTCTCAGGCCTTTAGCTGCAGAGAGGGGGAAATGTGGCACAGCACCGCTGCTCAAGGGAGAAGTGGCTGAATTCCATCAGTACGTGCAGCCTTGCAGACCCCAGGAGAAGGGTCTGCCTGCACCGGCCAAGCAGGAGCCATGATATCTTTGCTGCAAATGGAAGCAGCAATGGGCATGACTTACCTCCCAGCACAGGGCAGAGTTAGCCCCACGTTACGGTGCACGGGGGGTTACTTTCTCCACTAGCCTCCTAGCTGAGTGGGACTCCTCCCCCTAGGGACTCCCCTCCCCATCTGAGCTCTGTATCTGGAGCACCACAGGTGTGCAGTGAGCACATAACATAATGAATATATCAGCTTCATTGAGACAACTGTGTTTGTCCAAAATACCTGAATGTATTAGCTGTCTCTTGCCATTGCTCAGCTTCTGGAAACAGCCGATGCCTTCTTTCTCCAGTGATGGAGGGGGAAAGCTTTTATTTAACACCCAGGAGATCCAGTTTGAATTCCTGAACACCAGCTCTCTTTGCTCCTTGGTGGGAGTTCTGCATTAAAACTCCCAGCCAGCATCAGAGAGAGACATCAGCTCTGAGGGACGAGGGGCCTCCTCTGTGCAGACCCTTACAAGACAAGAGAAAGGGGATGAAGAAGCTCTCCCTTGTTTCTGTGGCTTTTCTCCGCTTTCCAGAAAGAGCCCTATCAGTCTTCTGTTTCTGCAAGGTCTTTCTTCCTCTTCAGAGTGTGGACCTTGATCACGCTGCCTATTTGACAGCTGTTTCACTGGGCCAGGCAGTGCTGTGGGATGTTGTGGGTGCTTGGAGCAATTCTGCTTCTTGCTGTCTGTTGCCATTTTGACAGACAGGCAGTGCCCTCAGCATGTTTGAACTACGCTCTTTCAGTCCAATGGTCCGCTCTTCTTTTTGCCTGTGTTTGTTGGAGGATAGCAGTCATCACCCTCATAAGAATCTGCTTTCAGTCCTAGCAGAGAGGTGATGCTTTCCAGGAACCCTTGGGCGCTACCTGGTGTCTCCTGACCTGTTAGCAGTCTTATCTTGCTGACTCCAGGGGCCTTCCACTGGGCAGAGTAGGAAATGGGAGCATTTTCCTATCAGGAAGACATAGCCCAGGGCAGTCATCTCACCTTCTTCTGGGCTTTGAGGCAGGGATCCTCATGGCCTTGCTTTCCACGGGCTGCTCAGGTCCGTGGGAGGAGGTTGCACAAATGCATTTTGCTGATGCTCAGTGGGCAGCAGGGCTGCTGAGGGGTTGGGGAGGTGGAGCCCGAGAGTCCAGACCCACGGACAGAGCAACATCTACATGGTAAGTGTCCGTGCCCTGCTGCCAGCCCTGAGCCCACCCAGGAGGAATGTAAGTGCCTCACAAGCCGACCCAGGGCTCAGGAAGCCCATCCGCAGCCATGGGCTCAGGGCAGAGCAAGCAGTCAGCAGTGAGGCTTTCTCCTCCTTGCTGTCAGGTGCCCACGTGCCGCTTTGTTGGCCCTGCAACTCTGGTAAAAGTCTCAGGGAGCCCCTTCCAGCCTAGAGCTCTGCTCCTTTATCTCTGGCTTGAACACGGCTGGCGGTGAGTCTGGTGGAAAGCCCTTAACACAAGTGCCTCAGCTCGTCAGAAGCACCAAGGGTCTCATTCCCCTGACAGGTATGCAGGGGGAGCATGGCAGAGGGAAGAGGCACTTCAGCAGTGAGGAGCTGTGCAGTGATGGAAGCTGCTGTTTGTGTGTGTGTGTGTGCATGCGTGCACGCAGTGGTGGACAAGAGGCTCTGTCCCCCTTCCCGAGAGCAGCAGCGTTTGGGGTTTGCTGCCCCATCCCTGTGCTTGAGGGGGCAGTTCTCCTTGAGGAGGTAATGCATCCCAGGTGAGATGTAAAGCCATGCTCCTCAGCCCTTGCAATTAAAGACCCCCTCACACTTTTCACAGCGTTCTGGCTAAATTACCGTCCTTAAACTTAATTACAGACTGTCGTCTTAAATATCTGTTGCAGTCCCAACCTGGTACATTATGTTTCCCTTCTTGATGTTTTATGTTGCTCCATGCTTATCGAGTAGCTGCTTTATTCCACTCCAGAAGTGGCTGCATTTCAGTGATGGTGGAGATTATTCTGTACATAGAATGAAAATCCCTGCAGAAGAAAAGTGCAATATAAATTTAAGAGACTGCTTTTATTTACAAGGAGACCTCTGCTTGGTAGTTGTAGAAATACATTAGGAAGAATGCTGTGTGGGTGTTAGCCGATATATACTCAATTTCTTCTTTTTTTTTCCAGGGTATAAAACAGAAAATATGTGAGTGTGCAGGCTCCTGGGTATAAGCTATAGATATTAGAAGCAGTGACTGCTACTGTGTAGTTACAAGTGGGGCTTACAAAGAAACTTTCATTTGAAACCTCTTTTTGTAGTTGTTCACTGTATTCTGAAAAAAAATATATACATTTTTGTATTATAATTTTCCACGTTTGGATGAAAGTCCCACTAATAGGACATCAACAGGACATTAATCCATAGCTTTGAACAACACAAATGTGAATTCCTACCCCGGCTCTGAAAAGCAGCTCCTGGCTGGTAACAGTAATAGCCTGTTTTCCTCCATGTAGATCAGCCACTGGAAAACGACGGAGCTAATGTGTTTCATTTGATGTGAAGTTAAGTAATTTGGAATGCCTGAGCGCAGCTCTTCTCAGCCACACAGGAGTGAAAAATGTTTCATCTCTGTGACAAATCACAGTGCAGCGCACCAGCAGCTGGGGAGCTCCTGAGCTCCGTGGCTGGGAGCAGTACGGGTCTGCCCTGCACAGCATGCCACATGAGAGCAGCCCTAGCAGGAGCCCTGCTTCTGCAAGCAGTGCTGTTCTGGGAGAAGGCAGGGCAGCAATCAGGGGAAAAGTGGGGGGTTGGGGGAGGTCAAATGTTTAGGTGTTTCCTTCAAGGATAATTATGGATGTATGAATGAGCGTAGTAAACACCATACAAATTGTATTCTGCTCTCTGCTGCTGTTCAAAGCATGGAAATCTGATTTCTCTCTGTACAAAGTCCTGTGGGTACACTGCTTCAGAACAGCATGAAAATGCATCAGCTTCAGGGACAACCAGGGTGCTCCCTCTGCAGCCTGCCTGTACCACTCCTCACCAGGAGAACTACCTTCTGTTGGCATCTTTGTGCATTGCAGCTGGGCAGGGATGGTCACCAGGAGCAGGCGGCAGTGCTGCTGGGAGAAGCAGCACTGTTCCACCACACCATCACAGAGGAACCGGGCGTTATTAAAAGGGAGACCTGCAGGAAGGGTGTCCGAGGCAGGAGCACAACCCAGTACAGGCTGCTGGGGAAGCCAGGAGCTGCCTCTGTTTGTGTTTTACTTTGGCTCCTCTGTTAACTGCTCGTCCCACTCGGCCTGGGAAGGCGTTTAATGCAGACAAAAGGCATTTGCAGAAAAACAAGTCCTGGAGAGCTCTGGAAATTGCATTTTAACAGGACCCAATTTACACTCCGTGGTAATAACTGGCAGCTGGTTGTTTCCAGCCGGGAGCTGAATAACCCCAGTACACTCAGCATCCCAATTGATAGCTGTGATAGATATGTGTTTTTCAGCAGTCACCCCTTTGGAATAAGACATGTGCCAGTTTGTTTGACAACCTGCCACCAGCTGGCACACTACAGGGGATTCTGGGCCCTTCTGATGGCTACTCATAGCCTGGTGTGGTCACATCAAATCAGGGACAGCCATTTGTGTGCAGGAGGCCATGAACATCCCCAGGAGCACTGCAGAAAGGTGTGACCCTGGGCTGGGTGTAGGCTCTGCCACCATGCGTCCTTCTTCCAATGGAGGCA